ATTCTCCACTGAGAATTCAGTGTGACAGGTGCCAGGGGGAGGTGACCTATGGGAGGTTGCCATAGATACCCCATTTATTTGCATTTTGCCCACACTTGCTCACTGCCTGCTTTGCTGTCAATTGGCACCTACCCTCTATTTTGAATATTGCTTATCGACAAGTTAATATTTCGTATAATTTAAAAGTAGTGATTTTTAATACAAAACCACTATATGTGGAACACAAGCTCTGTTCTGTGTGGGTAGCCCTATAGAGAGCTTCAGTATTAAGAAATAGCATGTACCATGTTTCTATAACTCAACAATAATATTAGAGAAATGTTGTGGGAACATGAGCCAACAGGCAAGTGTTTCCACAGCTTTTTCTCCCAAACTTCCACGAGTGTTTCTATAACTTGATAGAAACATGGAGAACATGGTTTCTATTTCTTTTAGAAAATTCTGTGACAAAAAAGAAAACGTGTTTACTACATGATTATAAAAATGGAAATTCTCTTTGCTCATGCCATCATTACGTTAACAGTGCATGCTACATGTAGTTCTGCGCTCCTATCGAGTTATAGAAATACGATTTTAAACCAATCAATATATGTATTTTCTTTGGGCTATTTTCTTATAATTTTCAATTATTAAATGCTTTTTTCCTCACAGAGTATAGCATCATGAAGTTAAAAAAATAATATAATTATTTCTTTATGTTTCAGGTGCTGGAAAGTGCTATGGGAGAAGCCACAACATTGTCCACTCCTCAAGACCAGGTAGGATTTGATTATTATATTTATTATTTATACCAGGTAATGACAGCTACATGTCTACATTTTCATGTGGTTAACAGAGCATTTTAGTCAATAATATTACTACCGACAGTGTGTTACTTTATGCCTGTTATTGTAATACACAGACAATGTTATAGAGTTGAAGCTCTAGAACAGTGGCACACTGGGGCAGAACTAACTGGCCATTGATGGCAGATGAGCTTTGTAGGGAGTTTTCAGTCTCCAAAGGTAGAACATATGGGTCTATAGACAATATGTAGATGTATAGTTGGAAGGAAAAAAATTCCTTTTGGAGAGGTGGCCAACATAAATGCCGCGAGGTGACCATTACTACGGAAGTTTGACTGTAGCTACATGTACATCATCTAAGTAGTTTAGCAGGTTTTCTTGAGCCTTTCATTTGCTAAAGTACAAATACTTGTATTTGCTGTGAATAGAAGTTTATTTCTATTGTTGCGTTGCATTTTCTTGAGGATTGCAGGAAAAGAAAAGAAATCAGAGGCAGAGTTTTGGTTTTTCCTGTAAATTTCATTCTTAATCTCTTTCAGTAGCAATAACTCTTTTGATTCCACCGTTGTTGATTAGGTTGAGGCATTGATTCAGCAAGTTGCAGAAGAAAATGGCCTAGAAATTATGAGTCAGCTGGAAGCTGTACAACCTGGTACGTCCTCCCTCAAAAATCAAGAAGCACAACGATCTCAAGGAGAGGAAGACCAACTTAGCAAAAGGTGAGAAATGACAATGTTTCATAGAAGATCTCAGAAATTATTTTATTACTGTAGGCTATAACTAAGGCAGTTGGAGGCACAGTGGCCTCATCATTAGTGTGCTTGCCTCCAGTTCGAGTGGTCTGGGTTCGAGCCCTGGCTGGGGACATTGTGTTGTGTTCTTGGGCAAGACACTTTACTCTTACAGTGCCTCTTTCCACCTAGGTGTATAAATGGATACTGGCAAATTTAATGCCGGGGGGTAACCTTGCAAGGGAGTTCTCATCCCATCCAAGGGGTAGCAGAAATACTCCTAGTTGCGTCATGCTACAGAAACGGGGGATTAGCGCCAGCCTGATGGGCCACTTGGCTTGGATGCAGACTTAAGGTATAGCTAAGGCAGAGTTTCTGTAGCGTGACTAGGAATATTTCTTCTCCTCCCTGGTTGGGATCCTATTCCATTGCAGAGTTACCCCTGGTATTTACCAATTGGTACCTGGGTGGAGACAGGTACTTTGAGAGTAAAGTGCCTTACCCAAGAACACATCACAATGTCCATGGCTAGGACTCAGACCCAGACAATTTGATCTGTGGTCACCATGCCTCTAAATGGGTCAAGTGCAACCGTAGATATGTATAATTGTGTGTTTTCTTAACAGATTAGCTTTTCTTAAGCTACTATAACAATTTTTTTTTTTATCTTTTTTATATCACAGACTTGCTTCTTTAAGAAGTTGATTGACGTCTAAGGGAAAGACACAATTCTCCAAATTTAAAAACCACAGACAGGGTCTACACCTTTCTTCAATGCTTCACAGGATCAAGGAACAGTAAATGATGTTTTTTAGCAATAAGTGATAGAGCGGTTTTCAGTTCAGTGTAATCACTCAAAGTTATCGCTATAGCCAATCACAAAAGACACAGACACAACAGTGAACCAATCAAAACTAGAAGTAACGTAGCTGTCGCAAAGCACAGGAAAACGTTTGGAGTGAGTCATGATTGGCTTTGGTTTTTACTTCTGATTGGATGAAAAAGTGGGGCGAGTTTTTTAAGCCAATTGTATAGCATGGTAAGTGCAAAACCAATTACTTTTCGACACTCTAATGAAAACCACTGTATGTCCATTGTAATAAATCCATAGTTTTCTAAGCTAATTGTGTCACAGAACATCTGTTTAAGAAATTAGAGCAGTTTTTCAATTAGCTGTTGGAATGTAATTGTGCCTTTACTCTCGCTTTTCATTGTCTAACTTGAGCAGTTAATGTAGAAGCTCTGTTAAGTCCCTGAGTGAGATATTTTCGTCACGACTTTTTGAGGTTCGAGGTCGGTAAGTAGAGAGTGGATCATTGGCTTACATCTTGTTATACATGTAAATCAGCTATGGTTAATAGAAAAGAAAGGAAGTGAACGAAGCAGACATTACATATTATAAGTGTTGTTTTATTGCACATTTCCACAAGACTTAAAACGTGTTTTATTAAACTAACTTAAAACGCGTAAAATTACCTCAAGATAATTGTTCTTGATTATAAATTGTGGCAGATTACCATTTAGATAGCTAGAGGGGAGGGCCTCTAAGCAAGTGGGGGGGAGTATTATAGCAAAAACAGAAAATTATTTACATTTGCGTTAGACAATTTGTGGTAGTTTCTTTAAGAGAAAGATACCATGCAACTTGCTCTAACGAAGCCAAACAAACATGGTGTTTTTGTGTCATCCGCGAATGGTTGTAGCAAAACGAAAACATCAATGGTTACCAGGCCTAATTTTTCTTTGCATTGTGATTGGTTCGTTTTGCGCTGCTCTCACCGGTCGCCATGGAAACGAGCGGTAAATGACTTCTGTTGAAGGGTCGGTTTGTTCACTGCGTTATTTGCGTTTCCTGTGATTGGCCAGTGTGATTACTTTAGTTGAAAGTCTTACTACAATCGATAGAAAACCGCTGTTACATATAAGGGACGGACCATTATTTTTTGAGGAGGAGGAATTGGGCAATTTCTGAAAAATAATTCCTACACAGCAAAAACTGCTGAAAAAAAAAATCGTTCAAGGAGAGCCATGGGCAAAAAATCAAGCAAGCGCTTTCCACTTTTGATGTTAAAAAAATTCTGGCACAAGCTATTGCCCAACCAAAAAAAAAAAACCATGCACAACCTAAAGGGAAGAAAAAATTTCATGCCCCAGAAAATTGCCCAACCCCGTCTCCCTCCCCTCCCTCCCCTCCCTCCCTCCAAAAAATAATAGTCCGTCCCTTTGTTTGAAGTTTTACGGCAGTTGATAAAAAACCGCTGTATCATGTAACAAAATACTTGGTTTTGGAGTCGCATAACGATGCGTGTAAAATATGATTTTGTATAACATTGTATTCATTTGAATGATGGTTTCCGATACTTTTATTTGGCGCGATGTCGGATGTTAATAATTATACAAAAACCTCGTGCCTGACACTATTGACTCTGTAAATATATGCATCCTGGCGAAGCCATCAGTGTTATGTCGGGCCAGTATTTTTCCAAGCATGTTGGACCGGGTAAAGTTTTTATGCTCTGCTTTAATTATAGATCGTGTAATAAATCTCTCATCTGCCAAGCTTTCTCAAAACCGATCTGGAAGAATATCGACTTTCGGTCTTTTTTTGTAGAGAGTTCAGTCGTTGCTCTTTTTTCCAGTACGGCCGTTGCGTTCAGTTAATGAGATCTGACGCACCTTAGCGGTGCTTAGCTAATTTGGACCTTCTCTTTTCTTTTGGTGGATTACTTGCCGTTCCTAATAAAATAAAGAAACCAAAAAAATAAATTTGCTGACTCACTCTTTGTTATGATTCAGCTTGTTACAGTCGAATTGGCCCAACAATGGGGTGTATTTTGGGAGGTTATTTGCAGTTAATGGTACTGTTGCAAACGCGTTTCCGTTAGTCTACGACACTTAATCAGGAAGGAAATGACGATACCAAACACCCTTCGATTCTTCATGTCGACTGATAAACGTACTCAGTGACACGAAGTCTTGTTTAACTCACCCATGAATTAGAACTTAAAGGAGCTCAGTCGCAGAATTTTGAACTATTTTGGACACGTTTGAATTTACCTTCTAGATTAATAGTAGATTATTAAGGTAGAAAAACACCAAAGAGATAACAATAAACCGTAAAGGAACAAGGATGGTCAAGGATGGAGAAGATTAACACGGATTACAAACAAACTTGAAAAATTTAGGCTTAACTTTTCAAGATGCGCAAACCATGTCGTAGCTCCTTCAAGGAGACAAACCAGAATTCGCTGAGTGATTAAAAAAAAAGGCATCAACAAACTTGGGCTTTTCGTAAGTGAATAATTAGCGGAAAAATGGCCAATAAAACTTCAATAAAACTGTTATCGGGTCGAAATTGTTTTTTCAAACTGCCAACGACATTATCAAAGATCAATGGAGTAGTGGCCTGCTAACAAGTATCAGGGATTTGCGGTGAACCGAGAAAAATTACTACTAATTTGTGATATCATTTTAAAATATAAACCCGACCAATTTAAAGAAAGCTGGAATTCGATTTATCGACTACACTTTCTGTTCCTGATTGAAGCTCGTTTTCTCTTCAACTATCATCTGTTTTTGAACTCTCGTTTTGCGAATTTGTTACAAGATTTTTGCTCACATTTGTGGTATTTAAGATTGCTGACTAATTGTATAGCTGGGTCATATACCAACAATGCGACCGATTTCCGGAACTCGGCTGAAACATTTTTAGTACTAAACGATATCTATTCTGAAATAATTACTCCGAAATTAGAATTCCCTCCTGGGCACTGAAACCCTCGGGCAGTTTTAAATTAGCGGTTTGCTCCGAATGGCGCCCTGGTGAGGTAGCTCACAGGTAGCTTCAAATGACGGGTTCCCAGGACAATTTAGAAGGTTTGAAGTGATCTTCTGGAGAGGTTCTTAATAGGAGAGATCAGGATGTTCTTTTTAATAAAACAATTTTACCTGAAGTACATATCGTGTCTACCAAAATGGCTAAAAATCACGATATTGTTCAATTGTGATCATGATCAAGATGAAACGAGATCTGTGGCGATATTGCGTAGAGTGAAATATTATATACTAAAATAGACCTACCGTGAAATTAAAAACAACGTCGCTACTTTTTAGTTTGCATAACTAACGTTAATCGAATTGAAAACTTTAATCTACAGGAAAAATCAGTGTAAAGGAAAAAAAATGGATCATTTGTCCCGGTATGTTATGATTGTTTGCAAGAAACAATATTTCCGTTTATTTTTTGACAGATTCTCTGACAGTATTTCGCTTCTCTCTTTTGCCTCCCAGTGCAATGCAAAACCATTTTTGGAATCGATTGACGTTCTTTAAAACACTTTGCACCAATATCTTGGCGGTAAAATCACTATCATCACATTCTTCCAAAAATGAGTTCAATGAAAACCCTTTTCGTACAAGTTGAATTGCAGTTAGCCATGAGTTGACATGCCTCATAGGTTTGATGACAAAGTAATTTTTGAAAAAAAAGTTATAAAGCATGTACTAACCTGCCCTTCAGATAACCCAAAAGCCGTTTCCTTGTCGCCATCGCCTCTGTTTCAAAACGAGGTCACACGTTAACCCTGATATAACATAGAAATTAGTTTGTTTTGAGTTCAATTTGGATAAAAGGTTTTGTGTGTGAGGGTGATAATGAGAAGGTATAAATGTTGCCTGTTATCAAATATTGCGTCATTTTTTAGATCAGAAGGGTTTATCAACAGTCAATGTTATTACTACACTGACTTGTAACCAAGCATTTCAGCCAGTTTTAACTGTGGCTCAGATTTCGTAGCGTTAAAGAAAAGAGATATGTGCTTCGATTTTGAACCGAGACTTTAATAAAACACTGCAAATAGCAATACACACTTCTAAAATGTTAAAATACTCCTGGCATACAGATACATTATCTTTTTCCTCTCAACTATTTTTAATAAATTATCAAAATTACTTAAATAAATTATGTTATTTATTAGTGTCTCTTAACAGTATTTTCATACTGTACTGGAAGCTACCATTCCTCTCAAGGAGTATTTCAATCACTGTGGTTGCGTTTCTCTGCCGCCCATTGTTCGTCACAACACTTACGTATGTCTATCGACCATTCTTCTACCCACGTGGTTCTGATCGAAGACGCCCGTGGATATCAGCGCTTCGTGATGACCACGAGATACACTCTGTGGACCCGGCGCCGATCCAGCGGCAAATCTGCCTCACCTTTAAGTTGGTTAACTTGGTGACAAGATTAAAGAGCTTTCTTTGGCCATCAACCAAGCGGACGCGCCCGGATCCCGATAGAATACCGACTATTACACGATCTTTCCCCTTTTCTAGAAGATGTGTTCTGACGTATGTTCCGGCGCCGGAACTTCCTGAGGACGCATCGCATCGACAGATCAATAAATTGCTCATTACTGCTGATTCGCAGTGGCTGTACCACATCGAATTCGATTTTTTGTCCCCGGGAAAGCTGGAAAAGTGGAGTTTATAGCGATGTCGACCCTTAATCACTCCAAGCCTTAGAAATGGCCGTTTTTGCGCTCGGTGCAGCGCGATCACGGCATAATCAAAGCTTGGGGGACTACTTTTTAGACGCCAGTTTTGCGGGAACTTAACGTTGTTCACGGCAACCCAACGTAATTTTTTATTGCGCCGGAGAAATCCCACCTTCAAGTTAGCGATCTCTGTAAGCAGCCGCTGACCATCGTGGATGCAGTGCGCGGATGTCAGAACGTGCTGCTCAGAGATCAGGGATCCCGTACAACCAGTTGAGATCTTCACGCTCGCTGAAAACGGAAATTTTTGTGCTTGACTGGAAGTGTTCAACCTGATGCGGCCGTCACGCCCAAAAATAAGTCTTTTTAAGCGAGACTTTAAGGGTTGCTCGACTTCGGATATAACTGATCGATAGCTTGCTCTTTGAGATGGCGACAGAAGTTCTGGTTCAGGCTCGTCAATTATCGCGGAATCGACCACGTGGTGAAGATGTGATCCGTTAACTGCTCTGAAATCTTCAAGATCGCGAATTGTCAGTCTAGTCAATGTTTCCGAACCATTGTGCCACAGCGTGTCGTAGTTGAAGTCGATTAGATCTTCTTCGACATCATTGACAAACGCCGTGAGCATGTGTTCGTAGCCAAAGGTCGTCATTTCTGAAGGCTTAGTGTCCCCGGTTTTGCCATGGCTTCGTCTTGATCGTCTTATTTTGTGCAAGTTAATGTTTTCTTGAGACCCGCTGTCCTTTTCGTTGCGTCTAGTCGACGCGACAACTTCTCCTGAAAATGTTCCTACCAAAAACGTACTGAGTACAATTGTTGGCCAACAAAAGACGTACTTCATTTTTCCCACCTCCTTCCTTGAAGTACACTCGAGAGTGAACTGTGGTTGTGTGTATCCGTGATCTTGTTTTGATGTTCTTAAGTAACTTGCGGATGTTGCGGAAAATTGCGATGAAGAACCTAAGTGCACATGCTCAATCTCACGAGGCCGATATTGTCGAAAAAAAAAATTCACCGGCGATCGAGGTTGAGAGCATAAAAGATTCTCGAGACAGAAAAAAAATAGAGGCCAATTTTCCTTATTAGAAATTCGCTTGACGCCTCTGCACATGATTAAAATTTGGAAAGGAAATTGAAATAGTTTTTGCGACTCGTAAAACTTGATAAACAATCCCACCGGCTTTATCTAATGATGATCATTCCAAAGACGGCGAGAGAAAAAAAAAACTACGCATTGAACATTGTCAAAAAATGCTGATTGAGGGCATTAGTTTTATAATTTCCGACGCTGACGATCAACACATTAATTTGATTGAATTCCACTTTACAAAAGGTTGAATGGACTGTTAGAGTTTGCAAAGGGTTCCGCCCAACGTTTAACACCTGTTATTGCGAAACCACAAACCTTAAAATCACCAGGTTTTTGTGGGTTGACGTTGTGCAAGAATACAAAAAATTAAATTGTTTTCACCGGAGAACAGGTTGCAACGGAAACAGTTAAAAAAGAGAACTGATAAACAATATGCGGTTAGTCGGCTTTTTGGTTCATTTACTCGGACAAGGGAAAAAAAAAGATTCAACCGACAATAGCAGAGCACTTGTCCTCAATAAAGGCTGCATTTAAACGCTTAACGCCTGATCGAACTCAAGTATTTTGTTGTTTGTTGACCGAGTGATGAGTCTTCTTTGCGCAAAGCAATGATCGAGATGTCTCAAATATTCATTATAATAATTAAATTCTGGAACTTTCCAGAAGAATTTTCTTTGTTCAGAAAGCTTAGAACACATTGTTCCGCTAGACGGACCGAATTGTGACGATCAGCGGGAAGGAAATAACTTCTTTAATGTTGTAACAATGACTTGTTGAAATAAATTCTTGAAAACATTTTACTTTGCACTTTCGTAAATTCTACTCTTTGTATGCAGTTCTGGTATAGTCTTTTATATCATCCGCCTCGTTAATTTCGTCGCTAATGGAATATATATTACTGTGGGAATAAGTTGCACACTTAATGTTTATTTATATATATCAGTTTGGAATTTCGTAATTTTCCGACTGTTTGTCTACTCTCGAGAAATATGACGTCATGTGNCAAAAAAATAATAGTCCGTCCCTTTGTTTGAAGTTTTACGGCAGTTGATAAAAAACCGCTGTATCATGTAACAAAATACTTGGTTTTGGAGTCGCATAACGATGCGTGTAAAATATGATTTTGTATAACATTGTATTCATTTGAATGATGGTTTCCGATACTTTTATTTGGCGCGATGTCGGATGTTAATAATTATACAAAAACCTCGTGCCTGACACTATTGACTCTGTAAATATATGCATCCTGGCGAAGCCATCAGTGTTATGTCGGGCCAGTATTTTTCCAAGCATGTTGGACCGGGTAAAGTTTTTATGCTCTGCTTTAATTATAGATCGTGTAATAAATCTCTCATCTGCCAAGCTTTCTCAAAACCGATCTGGAAGAATATCGACTTTCGGTCTTTTTTTGTAGAGAGTTCAGTCGTTGCTCTTTTTTCCAGTACGGCCGTTGCGTTCAGTTAATGAGATCTGACGCACCTTAGCGGTGCTGAGCTAATTTGGACCTTCTCTTTTCTTTTGGTGGATTACTTGCCGTTCCTAATAAAATAAAGAAACCAAAAAAATAAATTTGCTGACTCACTCTTTGTTATGATTCAGCTTGTTACAGTCGAATTGGCCCAACAATGGGGTGTATTTTGGGAGGTTATTTGCAGTTAATGGTACTGTTGCAAACGCGTTTCCGTTAGTCTACGACACTTAATCAGGAAGGAAATGACGATACCAAACACCCTTCGATTCTTCATGTCGACTGATAAACGTACTCAGTGACACGAAGTCTTGTTTAACTCACCCATGAATTAGAACTTAAAGGAGCTCAGTCGCAGAATTTTGAACTATTTTGGACACGTTTGAATTTACCTTCTAGATTAATAGTAGATTATTAAGGTAGAAAAACACCAAAGAGATAACAATAAACCGTAAAGGAACAAGGATGGTCAAGGATGGAGAAGATTAACACGGATTACAAACAAACTTGAAAAATTTAGGCTTAACTTTTCAAGATGCGCAAACCATGTCGTAGCTCCTTCAAGGAGACAAACCAGAATTCGCTGAGTGATTAAAAAAAAAGGCATCAACAAACTTGGGCTTTTCGTAAGTGAATAATTAGCGGAAAAATGGCCAATAAAACTTCAATAAAACTGTTATCGGGTCGAAATTGTTTTTTCAAACTGCCAACGACATTATCAAAGATCAATGGAGTAGTGGCCTGCTAACAAGTATCAGGGATTTGCGGTGAACCGAGAAAAATTACTACTAATTTGTGATATCATTTTAAAATATAAACCCGACCAATTTAAAGAAAGCTGGAATTCGATTTATCGACTACACTTTCTGTTCCTGATTGAAGCTCGTTTTCTCTTCAACTATCATCTGTTTTTGAACTCTCGTTTTGCGAATTTGTTACAAGATTTTTGCTCACATTTGTGGTATTTAAGATTGCTGACTAATTGTATAGCTGGGTCATATACCAACAATGCGACCGATTTCCGGAACTCGGCTGAAACATTTTTAGTACTAAACGATATCTATTCTGAAATAATTACTCCGAAATTAGAATTCCCTCCTGGGCACTGAAACCCTCGGGCAGTTTTAAATTAGCGGTTTGCTCCGAATGGCGCCCTGGTGAGGTAGCTCACAGGTAGCTTCAAATGACGGGTTCCCAGGACAATTTAGAAGGTTTGAAGTGATCTTCTGGAGAGGTTCTTAATAGGAGAGATCAGGATGTTCTTTTTAATAAAACAATTTTACCTGAAGTACATATCGTGTCTATCAAAATGGCTAAAAATCACGATATTGTTCAATTGTGATCATGATCAAGATGAAACGAGATCTGTGGCGATATTGCGTAGAGTGAAATATTATATACTAAAATAGACCTACCGTGAAATTAAAAACAACGTCGCTACTTTTTAGTTTGCATAACTAACGTTAATCGAATTGAAAACTTTAATCTACAGGAAAAATCAGTGTAAAGGAAAAAAAATGGATCATTTGTCCCGGTATGTTATGATTGTTTGCAAGAAACAATATTTCCGTTTATTTTTTGACAGATTCTCTGACAGTATTTCGCTTCTCTCTTTTGCCTCCCAGTGCAATGCAAAACCATTTTTGGAATCGATTGACGTTCTTTAAAACACTTTGCACCAATATCTTGGCGGTAAAATCACTATCATCACATTCTTCCAAAAATGAGTTCAATGAAAACCCTTTTCGTACAAGTTGAATTGCAGTTAGCCATGAGTTGACATGCCTCATAGGTTTGATGACAAAGTAATTTTTGAAAAAAAAGTTATAAAGCATGTACTAACCTGCCCTTCAGATAACCCAAAAGCCGTTTCCTTGTCGCCATCGCCTCTGTTTCAAAACGAGGTCACACGTTAACCCTGATATAACATAGAAATTAGTTTGTTTTGAGTTCAATTTGGATAAAAGGTTTTGTGTGTGAGGGTGATAATGAGAAGGTATAAATGTTGCCTGTTATCAAATATTGCGTCATTTTTTAGATCAGAAGGGTTTATCAACAGTCAATGTTATTACTACACTGACTTGTAACCAAGCATTTCAGCCAGTTTTAACTGTGGCTCAGATTTCGTAGCGTTAAAGAAAAGAGATATGTGCTTCGATTTTGAACCGAGACTTTAATAAAACACTGCAAATAGCAATACACACTTCTAAAATGTTAAAATACTCCTGGCATACAGATACATTATCTTTTTCCTCTCAACTATTTTTAATAAATTATCAAAATTACTTAAATAAATTATGTTATTTATTAGTGTCTCTTAACAGTATTTTCATACTGTACTGGAAGCTACCATTCCTCTCAAGGAGTATTTCAATCACTGTGGTTGCGTTTCTCTGCCGCCCATTGTTCGTCACAACACTTACGTATGTCTATCGACCATTCTTCTACCCACGTGGTTCTGATCGAAGACGCCCGTGGATATCAGCGCTTCGTGATGACCACGAGATACACTCTGTGGACCCGGCGCCGATCCAGCGGCAAATCTGCCTCACCTTTAAGTTGGTTAACTTGGTGACAAGATTAAAGAGCTTTCTTTGGCCATCAACCAAGCGGACGCGCCCGGATCCCGATAGAATACCGACTATTACACGATCTTTCCCCTTTTCTAGAAGATGTGTTCTGACGTATGTTCCGGCGCCGGAACTTCCTGAGGACGCATCGCATCGACAGATCAATAAATTGCTCATTACTGCTGATTCGCAGTGGCTGTACCACATCGAATTCGATTTTTTGTCCCCGGGAAAGCTGGAAAAGTGGAGTTTATAGCGATGTCGACCCTTAATCACTCCAAGCCTTAGAAATGGCCGTTTTTGCGCTCGGTGCAGCGCGATCACGGCATAATCAAAGCTTGGGGGACTACTTTTTAGACGCCAGTTTTGCGGGAACTTAACGTTGTTCACGGCAACCCAACGTAATTTTTTATTGCGCCGGAGAAATCCCACCTTCAAGTTAGCGATCTCTGTAAGCAGCCGCTGACCATCGTGGATGCAGTGCGCGGATGTCAGAACGTGCTGCTCAGAGATCAGGGATCCCGTACAACCAGTTGAGATCTTCACGCTCGCTGAAAACGGAAATTTTTGTGCTTGACTGGAAGTGTTCAACCTGATGCGGCCGTCACGCCCAAAAATAAGTCTTTTTAAGCGAGACTTTAAGGGTTGCTCGACTTCGGATATAACTGATCGATAGCTTGCTCTTTGAGATGGCGACAGAAGTTCTGGTTCAGGCTCGTCAATTATCGCGGAATCGACCACGTGGTGAAGATGTGATCCGTTAACTGCTCTGAAATCTTCAAGATCGCGAATTGTCAGTCTAGTCAATGTTTCCGAACCATTGTGCCACAGCGTGTCGTAGTTGAAGTCGATTAGATCTTCTTCGACATCATTGACAAACGCCGTGAGCATGTGTTCGTAGCCAAAGGTCGTCATTTCTGAAGGCTTAGTGTCCCCGGTTTTGCCATGGCTTCGTCTTGATCGTCTTATTTTGTGCAAGTTAATGTTTTCTTGAGACCCGCTGTCCTTTTCGTTGCGTCTAGTCGACGCGACAACTTCTCCTGAAAATGTTCCTACCAAAAACGTACTGAGTACAATTGTTGGCCAACAAAAGACGTACTTCATTTTTCCCACCTCCTTCCTTGAAGTACACTCGAGAGTGAACTGTGGTTGTGTGTATCCGTGATCTTGTTTTGATGTTCTTAAGTAACTTGCGGATGTTGCGGAAAATTGCGATGAAGAACCTAAGTGCACATGCTCAATCTCACGAGGCCGATATTGTCGAAAAAAAAAATTCACCGGCGATCGAGGTTGAGAGCATAAAAGATTCTCGAGACAGAAAAAAAATAGAGGCCAATTTTCCTTATTAGAAATTCGCTTGACGCCTCTGCACATGATTAAAATTTGGAAAGGAAATTGAAATAGTTTTTGCGACTCGTAAAACTTGATAAACAATCCCACCGGCTTTATCTAATGATGATCATTCCAAAGACGGCGAGAGAAAAAAAAAACTACGCATTGAACATTGTCAAAAAATGCTGATTGAGGGCATTAGTTTTATAATTTCCGACGCTGACGATCAACACATTAATTTGATTGAATTCCACTTTACAAAAGGTTGAATGGACTGTTAGAGTTTGCAAAGGGTTCCGCCCAACGTTTAACACCTGTTATTGCGAAACCACAAACCTTAAAATCACCAGGTTTTTGTGGGTTGACGTTGTGCAAGAATACAAAAAATTAAATTGTTTTCACCGGAGAACAGGTTGCAACGGAAACAGTTAAAAAAGAGAACTGATAAACAATATGCGGTTAGTCGGCTTTTTGGTTCATTTACTCGGACAAGGGAAAAAAAAAGATTCAACCGACAATAGCAGAGCACTTGTCCTCAATAAAGGCTGCATTTAAACGCTTAACGCCTGATCGAACTCAAGTATTTTGTTGTTTGTTGACCGAGTGATGAGTCTTCTTTG